ACGTTCTCTGCATCTTCTGTTGAAGTTAAAGGGCGCGGCTACATTCCAACCATTATCCTCCGCGCAACTTCTACCCTGAAGAGGAATGGCGTGTCGGGCAACTCGTGAATCCCCCAGTCCGAGGGCGACAGCTATGGGAGCGGGAGATGAGGCTCCTAGCCAAGATTAAGCAGCCGTCAAAAGCTGTCATGGAATTCAGCAATGAGGCTTGTGCATTAGGCTTCAAATGTGACGTCTATTCAGAGATGTTTTTCGGTCGCTGGATGAATGTGTATAAGGATTGTGGCTGAAGTCTCTTTCTCCCTGGACAAACTCTCACTCAAGATCAGTAAACAAAATACATCGAGGGTCTGCTCGTGGAATGAAAGAGTTCTTGGCGATCAGAACAATGCCGACCAAAAGGCAATCGACTCTATTGTCATCTATTTCGAGACTGGTCTCGCTCTTTCGATGTTGTCCCTGAGAGCCGATTAAGATCAGACAAAACTTGGATGGACCACGACCAAGAGCATAAATCAGGCACAGGTCCCTTGAATGGGTAATTTCAACATGGTTGAATTTTGCAAACTCAATTTTGCACAGATTCTATTCCCATCTTCAACCTCAGCCTTAACAATGGTGTATCACACACCCACAGACGTTCATGGCATGCTCGGCATAACGGCATAAACATTGTTTCTCTTAGCTGTTCATGCGAGTCAAAGCAGACACCACCATGCCATCCGTGCGAACCATCTCTGCCCAATGTCTGATCTACCCGTCTAATTTAGGTAACACGATCCTCCTCTATCTTTCATAGACCCGTGCTAGCAGCTGCCTTGTCGATCCAAGACCCCAGAATCTGGTAATTAGTATGCGCCATACCGAAAACCGCTGCGTTCTATGGCCCCGAAATTCGCGGCGGCGGCATGGTTCTGTGCAACCGAGCATTCAAAGTTAGAAACCTTATGCTAAGCGTGCTGGAAGAGAATTACTTGGGCTCGTTCGAGTGGGGACTAATGCACGCACGTCTATCAAAAATATCTTGCGATGTGATGAGATTGCGAAGCGACTTTTTTGTTCTGACGCCGGAGCAAAGCTGGCGACCAACGGTCTTATTAGAGCATCCAGATATTGCCAAGAAAGAACTAATGAATACCACCTAGGCAAGTCCCTCTAGGGAATGGAGAGTTCGGGCAAAAGCTATCTCCCGAAATACTCCATATGGCCATCTTGAGAGGCAGACCTTGGGTCTTGGCAGCCAAATCAAGATAATGGCAAGGACTGTCTTCCCACGGATTAAACTGATGGGCTTGACCAAATTGTTGGCGTTGACATTGATGGGTCCATTAGCTTGCAGCCCAAGGATTTGGACGACGAAGTCTTTACAATATACTTTGCTAACCTATTGCACGAGGAACTCAATATTGACAGCAACCATCAACCAGACCCTGGAATTAACGCCAAAGACTCTTCAAGAGACGGAGTTCTTGGCTCTTCTCAATAATCTTTTATCATTCTCCGCATCTCGTGTAAGTCACATTGAGAAAATCATCATGTGGCTTGGCTACCCAAAAGCCTCCTGGTCGCTCAGGACTGGATCTCCGAGGAGCTTCTTCGAGAAACAACTCATGGCGTGCAAGAATATGCACATGATTCTGATGTAAGGAGCTGGGTGGTTTCTTTCTGCTCGAGAAATCAACCGGGAGTCGAGGTGGTAAAACCACAGACACGAGCTAATGGGTGTAATACAACATGCTCAACACTGTCGCAATGTAGAGTCTCTTGATGGTCAGCGAACGTCCAGGTTCGGGTATTTTGGATATAGAGGTACCCGAGTCGAACATTTTCGCATGATCTTTGAAGTAATAGCAGTCTGTGGGAGGATTTGAGTGACACAGTGATAGATGTTTGCAAAGTTCTTCGCTAGGTAGTCATGCCCAAACAACAAAGCCTAGTATTAAGTGTACAAACAACCGCAACAGTAAATGAGTGGTCTGGTTATCCTGCTCGGAGCCTGGAGGCAGAATATATAAGTTTCTCCTGCTCTCCTGGCACAAGCCGACAACAACTCTGAGATAAATAGACTCGAATCCATTTGCCGTTGTTTTTATAGAACTGTTTTTGTATACTCTCTGATTTAGTATTCACCACTTTATTTGTCTGGAGTTGGTCACTTGCGATGTTGAAAGTGCTGGATTTGTTGACACTGTCACCTGTAAATACCCTCACTTCCCAACAGTGGCAGCTTGGCTAGCACTGCCGTGCAGCTGCCAGAGCACTTGCCACTGCGCGGTTGCTGGGCAGTGAATTTACATCGGCATTTCAAAACAGGCAGAGATTCATTTCATCTTCATTTCATCAAACTCATCTGCTCCGATTCCCCATCGTCGCTCATCTTTCGCTTCACTTCACAACATTCTTCAATGACACACTGCACTTCATCAATTGCATCCCTTCACTAACTTCACCCTTTCTACCACAAAACTCTCAAGTAATCACTGATATCAACAAAACTCAGTCACCATGTTCTGGCGTCGCTCCCGTCTCACTTATGACCCGAAGCAATTTCCCAACTACCGCCCCTACCCCGAAACCGGTTTCGAGCGCCTCATCAAGGAGTGTCCGAGTGTATTTCACTTCATTACCTTCACAATCAGATTCCAGGTTTCTATTTTCAGTATCATTCTGCAGTGGTTGTGTATGATGCTTTGCAGTCCACTTCAGTACTCCAAGCACAACGATTGGATCCTCGGCCACTACAAGGCAAGCCCTACTGCTTCTCACATGCTCTGGGGAGCCTTCATCACTGCCTGGTCCTCTCACTTCATGTACCGCATCGGAAAAGCTGTTTGCGAGGTGATTATTGATGCCTATGATGACCCTGTGTGGGCTCTTTACGAGATCTGGGATCTCGGGGTATACTCGCAGTTCTTTCTTGTCCGCACCATCTTTTTCATCCTGACTACCACATTCAACTTCATCTGCTTTTGGACTGTCTTCCTCTTCACCATGTCGACATATTCATTCGTCGTCTGCCTCGCCCTGCTCGGCGCTGTTGCCATGTGGCAGCTGCACTATTACTTTTTCGTGTACAGTCCTCAGGAAGTCCCTGAAGAGGTCTCATATCAGTCCCCCCAGAAAGAAGTTCTTTCTACTCCCGACAGACCAGGTCGTTGCTTTCGAGTACCTACACCTTCTACTGGGTCGTCCGCTTCTTCCTCCCGATCATCACCTGGGGATACTTCACCTCACCTCCGACCCCGACCATCAAACAAACCCCCTGGCGCTGCATACGTCAAAGTATCTCCCCAAGCCATACAAAAGCTTCATGACGAAGGAGTCTTCGTCCCAGAACCCACCAGAGTTGCCGACTACTCTTATCTGGAGCCCTTCGCAGTAAAGCGCCCTACCAACTTCAGCCGCTCTGATGCAAAGGCGCACTTTCGAAGAGTTAGGGAAATCGAGAGGAAGAAAGGCATAATATCATACAGCCCTGACTCTTATAAAGATGATCCTCCCTCCCCTACTGTTATTACAAAGACCGCGTGGATTCATTCCAAGATGGATGCTGTCGACCGAAGACTTCGAAACATCACAGAAGATGTCACCGAGATGAACACGCTGCTTAACACTTTTCAAGCCAAAGGCAGCGTCAAGCCCCTTCCCGACGCCTCACCCGCGATACCATTGTCGCCAAGAACACAACGGCGAAACGCAACTCTCGCTGAGAAAGATCGCATAGGACAAGTCATTAATGATTACCTATGTGAGATCAACACCATCTTAGCGCGTGTATATAGGCACAAACCCTGGACTGAAGACATGCTAAAGCACATTGATCGCCTGGTTGCCCACGCAGGAGATGCCGCTTCCCGCGCAATTCGTATAGAAGTCGAAGATTGTAAAAGGCGTGTTGATCTCGCGTTCAAGGGCGTGGACGCGGCAATTACGACCTCTAATGAAATTGCAGACTTTTGCGTTGATCGCCAAATAGAACTGGAGGCCCAAGCCAAGAAGCTTTGTCGTATGGATCGAACTCAGGCTAAGTATCCTAGCATTCCAATCTTTGATGAATACTATGGTTGATCCTCACCGAGTTTTTGACTCATCTTTATCGACTAAACGATTAGCAGAGTGCTATTGTATACATGTACACCACCGAGAGCACTTGAAGATTGATATTTTGGAGTTCGGGATTATACCCTTTGCTTTACTACACATGTCAGAGACACTTGCATGATTGACTACGAAGTCGGGGATATGATATCTTAGGTTGACGTTAAGTATAGCGGACGGAGTTGGCCATTTACGAATGAATTCGATGATTAATGTCATAACATCTATCTGTTCTTATGCTCCTAAAGTGATTTCTCTTTCGAATCTGTTCATCATTGTGAAAAGGCCTGCCGCAACAGTAGCTCGCTTATCTATATCATCCAGGTCGCCTAGGTATATTTTCTCTCGAGTTTCTCTGGTTATGATAGGTGACTCACGATAAGCAGAGGACGTTGTCCAATACACTCATCTCGTATCAACAAGAGCGCTGGGGATGAGATTAGGAGATGACGATGTTATCCTCAGCCACCGAGGCCGGTTTCTAATGACTTGAAACTGACCACTGCGACAGATACTTCTCGGTGGTGCCCTATCAGCTACTGGTCCTAAAATGCGAGGATACGGGAACTGCCAAAGCTGTTGAGGCAGACTGTGATGCCACAGACCATGCGACCTCAGTGAACGGGAATAATAGCACCATGATATTGACCTTCCTTGATATTGAAATGTACCATTATCGAATGATGCGTTCGTTTAGAGAGGCGAGGAGAAGAAATATGTACTCATTGCGGCTATATCTTTATTTGCCAAATCCTCTGTCAACACCTGGGTATCGCACATAAAAATCGCATCTCGTCGTCAGGACAGTTCCAGAACCGATCCTCCAATAAATCCTTCAGGTCAGAAAACTCCCTCAGATCCATAGACTGAACAGATGATCATCAAGACCACCGAGGCACCGGCTAATAGCCAGCAGACTCAATACCATGAACCTGCCAGTAAAGACCTCCTTTCTTCCCAACCTCGTCAGCAGCACACTTGACAGATCCACGAGCTGCCATCTCCGTTCCAGCAGAGTACTCCAGAACAGCCTTCTGCATAATCCAAACCACATCGTCATCGCCGACTTTTAATCCCTTGTCAGCTCGCACAGCAAATGCACACGATCCTGATTTGACGATGTTGACAAGCCCATCTCCCACATCGTACTCGCGCTTGTCGTCGGAAGCAGCGGGGATGCTGAAAGTGCCGTTACGAGTACCAAAGGTTGAGAGAAGTGCTGCGCAGTCCCTGTAGTTGGCCCGCTTGGTGCTCTTGGGCGCCTGGTGCGCGTTGTAAGTCTTCTTGTCGCATGTACCGAAGGAGTGGTTTCCAGCAGCCCAGTAGGTGTATGGATCTTCGTAGGCACTGGGTGCTGTGGTTGAGACGGCGATCAAGTTGTCTTTAGTAGGAGTAGCCGTGGGCGCTGCGGCTGCAAGGCCGATGAAGACGGCGACAATATTGGTGAAATGCATCTCGATCGTTGATCTAGCGAGCGGGAAAAAAGTAAAGAAGTTTGCTGAGAAAAAGAACAGACCGTGGTGAAGAGTAACGGACCAACAGGTGATCAACACCTATGTTAACGAGTGACTGAGAAAGGGAAACGCTGCGCTGCACTGCAACGAGGAGGTTGGGAGAGACAGTCAACAGCAGTTAGTTGACGGGGAAGAGACAAAGAAGTATACCCAATCCAGGTGGGCAAGTGGGATGTTTAGATGCGATCACAGGCGGAGATGGCAGTGTGTTTCAAGTAGAGTGGATGAGTATGAAACAAGGATCACAATACGCAGAGCAGAGAGTATGATTTATTTTGAGTGACATTTTGGGACCAGATTGACTAGACTCGGAAAAATTAGTCCTGTTTTTCTTTTAAATATATTGAGTCCCAACGAGTGAAACAGGGTGACGGGTTGTGTTTGTTTAATTGCGATAATCACAGCGGAGGATTTGGTGTTTGTGTTTCCGTTTTTTGATGGGGCCGATGTTTCGAGCAAAGTGCCATATTCATGCCGAGATCAACGCGTATAGGCACAGGAAAACGTGTGATTGGAAAGCTAATAGGAGGAGTGAAACGAGCGTCTCTATATATAAGGAATTATATGTGATGATCAACCATATGATCTTGTATTCTTGGAGTTTAATTCGCTGCCAACAAGACTGACTGAGCACAGGACCATCGCGACATTTCATACAGAGTATATACGCTTTGACTATTGCTATGTCTCTCTTGAAGCCCTCGAAACAAACTACCTCGTAATTGTCTATTTCTTTGAAACGGTCTATCTTGCGTGCCTAGGCTTTCTCACATGCGCATAATTTGCAGCCTCGCATCGAGGCCAGATCAGCACTCTCAGTCTCCAACCTCAAGATCAAAAGGCCGTTGATCAATACCAATTTCACATGATAAAAAACCTGGCGACAACTGCCGTCAAACTTGAATATTAGTCTCTATACTCCGTACCGTTGCAGTGGGATTTATCTCCCTGCAAACTTAAATGGCTTTCCTCGCAATATCTCGTGATAGAAACTACCTAGACTCAGTACCTATCGAGTCTCTTGTCGCTCACTAACTCCCCCGGGCCGACAGTGGTGAAGAGTGACGCTCCAGTGGATTGAGAGCCCCCACTCCCAGCGGTTCATCAACCCCGGTCTTGGAGATGATGACGCGAGGGGCATTGGCCAGTGACAGAGCAACTCGTTGGTTTATTTGTTGGGTGATGCTTGTACTCTCAATATGACTTCATATGTCGTGGATCTCTGTCTCAAGGCAGCCATGAAAAGTCTTGGCCAGGTTAGTAGTCCTTGGTCTTGGTTCATGGTTACCAATTCCCACGGCATAAGGGTTGGTTACTCTAATGTAAGTTGGAAAAAGTGTCATTTCCACCATCTTGGCCTCGTTATTCCCAGACGTCACTAGCTCGGCCGATAGAATACCCAAATATGACGGTTCTTCAGACTGATGCTCGTTCATGGAATTGACCCTCTTTATTAAGCCCGCCAGTATCCATATCATCCCCCATCAACTCCTGGGGTCATCATCTTGGCTCCGTCTTGGCTCCACGTCAAAATGATCACCCCAAAAACCTGTATCATGGACTGCTCGGTTCAGGTGACCCCTCCAAGAAAAAGGGCCGGTACCACGATGATGGAATGGCTCTGGTGATCGTCGGAACTCGGCTGAGGGTGAGTGAGACCCTTTCTTTTACTTTTTTTTCTTTACTTGATGTAACTCCCAGCTCGTCGCTTGACTCGATTCCCGAGCCCCGATGGACTGTTCTTGTCCCGTCTGGTCCTAGCTAGGGGTATTATCGGCCCCCAGTTTTGGGATCATTGCCAGTTCCTGATATCATCGTCATGGCCTATCAATGGAATGGTATTAACTAACATTGTCGGGTCAGCTGGAAGAAGAAAATACTGTGAGGGGCCTTGACCATTTTCCATGTTGTGAAATTTCTATCCATTGTAAACTCCATTGCCCAATCTTCTCTTCATTGCTCTCCTCTTCATATCATAAGTCCTCAGCCATCATCGTCATCATGAAAACCGCTTCACAACCTTCAGCTCCCCATAACGCAGCAAGCAAAGTAAAGCGACTCGTTGGCAAAATTCGCCGCCACTCACATCCTCCATCCCCCGAAGCTTCCTCAGCATCTCCCTCATCATCCGCAAATCCATCCCGCGAATCTTCATCATGTCCTATTCCACACATCGGCAAACATAGTCAACGCCAAAGTCGCCGCGGATCAGCCTCGGATGAGGAGGAGCGCGCGCACGACCTTGAACTCTGGAACGCAGCATACGATGTCCTCAAGAGAGATGGCACGTCTTCGGGTCTTGTGCTCGCGTATGAGAGCATTATTTCTCATGCACTTCCTGATACTTTGAGGCCGGGACATAACGGGAATGGGAATGGGCTACCGACAGAAAGTGAGAGGAGAGCGGAACTCATGATGATGATCGCAAAGTCTGGTTTAAACCGCGAAGTTAAGGAGACATCACAAACAGACTCGGGAGATGTTGAAGCAAGAGAAAATCTGATTCGCACAAGGTCGACTATATCTTCATTACTCGATGACCAGCCCAGCGCCGCTGTCGCTTGGGCGGGCTTCTGCTCACTAACACCAGTAGGCTGCGACTGACTCAACCCATCGAACAACAAGACTAATATCATCAATAGCTTCTACTAGAACCCCTTCTACGACATGAAGATATCCGCCAGGGGTTTGTGCATATTGCACACACCATTCCTCACTACATGACCCTCCATCGCGCCCTCCATCCATCATCCTGGACATCCCTACCAGAGTTCCAACGTCAACAGCCGCAAGTCCATCAAACTCTTCTAACACTTTATCGACGCATCCTCGAGTACGAGATGAACATTGTCTGCGCCGCTGCGAGCGCCTGGAACATGGCTGCTCGCAACGTCGTCGATTGGCATGGCTGGAAAGGCATGGCGGACGCTGTCCGGGATATGGATGCTGAGTTGATGGGCTATGTCGAGAAGAATGGCACAGATGAGGCTAGGGCGTTGATGGAGGTTCAGAGGAAGTTGGAGCCTGAAGGGGGAGGCCGCGGTGAGTTACATGACGACACTTCATCACCAAATGTGTAAGCATACAAGACAAGCCAACAATCAAGGGGCCATTACAAGCAAGGTCATTTTATGTAAAGCCAATTTCAATCGATTTCCCCGGATAGTCAAATCTACAGATTTCCCTTTTCCCCAAACCAGACTCCCGACTCCATGCTCCGCCCTTTTGACCAAGCCAGTGTAGGACTTTGCTTTTTCCCTTTTGCCAAGTCGCGATCAAATCAACCAGTCTATATCCTAACAACCAATTACCATGCACCCAAAGACCGCCATGCTCCGTTTCTACAAGAATACTCCTTTAAAAACGCCCCATTTACTGCCCAATCTTTGGAAGGATACCCTGCTTGTCAAGGTTCCTCAGAGTATCACCGTACTCGTTGATATGTCGCTGCCAGCGACTGACATCGCCGTTGAAACCAATCGCCCCCAACATGGCTGACCATCCAGGCATTTGGTCACGGGTCACAAGTTCATATAAACGACAGAGGATTTGATGAAATTCCACCTGAGGCCTCATCGCAACCGCGTACAAGTGTCGCACCAAGTCAGCCCAGCCGGCGATAAAGTCGACGTCAAACGTGGACTCGGGATACCGGAACTCGATAGTGTCGTACTTAGAGACAACCAGTGCACACCGGGTAGTTGTGTGAAGGGATCCCTCATCGAATTTTCGGAGGGCGATGCCCAGGCTAATCAAGCTGTTTTCCGACCACAGGCGTTTCATAGCTCCCAGCAGACCTCTGTCGACTTTCTTGCGCCAGTGTAGCTGTCGCATGACCTCTCCGAGTGCTTCAACAAGAGCTGCACCCTCGCCATACACTGTTGGTTCACCCCTTTCCATGGCGATTCGAGATTCAACGCTGATACGCGCCGAGTAAGGAGAAGTCGAGCGGAAAGGATGGCACAGAGGGTACAGCAGAGAATCTTCCAGCAGCCAGACCAAAGATGCAAGGCGCAGCGCAGTCTCTAGCTGCATGCTGCCGGCTTCGTTGACGTGGAGGTGTAGTCCACAACCAGAATTAAGTCCAACTACCATGTCGCCCTGCACTGCCGCAAGGCACTTTCTGAGGGTAGGTAGCCCCTGACTGAACTCTTCAGGATGAGTGAGGATAGGGCTGTTGAGTTCAGTTCCATACCAGTCGTACTTGTTTGAAGGTGTCATTCCGGACTTACTAACGCAGTCTCTGGTGATGTGACGCTCCGGAACAATGAACCAAAAATCAGTCTTAGACACTGGTCCGCTAACAGACTCGTTATTCCAAGCTCGAATGTCTCCGCTATTATCTGTGAGCGGAAGAATTGTAGTGCCAGGGATCTGGGCAGGGCTGGATGGCGAAGGAGGTGTGAGGCTACACGAGACGCAGACCCCGCTGCTGGCGATCAATTCGCATACCTTGTGAATACAAGACGGTTCGATGTCTTTGTAGTCTCCCATCACGAGGCCCAAAAAAGCCTCCGGTGTTGTAGGACAGGTCCATCGAGTCTCACCAGTCACAGCGTCGGAGTTTGGGATCTGCAGTGCAACCATAAATTCCAACTCGATACCGACACATATGGACTGCGGTATCGACATGCTGGGCTCGAGGGATGCAGGGATCGCAGGGGTCTTTTCTCGACGGTGAAAATGCTTATCGACCTGGATGTGATGGTAGCTTCTCAGGGTCGAGAGCAGAGAGGCTGTTGAGCAGCCAGAAGAGGCTGGAGCCCCTAATGGGTTACGATTTATAGCAGATAGCTCCATAATGAACAATATGAGGTGAGTTGAGGAAGCAAGAACAATTCGTGGTGTTCACTCTTATATATTCGTGAGTCAAAGAACATGGCCGCAAAGAAAGTCAGTGCGTCTGTCATGTCAGGAGAAGGGACGGGACAGAAAAGTAA